GACTTCTAACTTGAGGCAGGAGCTCCCTCCTGAACGATACATGGCTCCTTTGAACTGCGATGGAAATGTCTCCACGGGGAAACCTCGCCAGCACCTCAGAAGAGAGTGAACTACTTCCTCGACTGTAGTCCTGCCTTTGCGAAGGATAACGGATAAAGCCGCCCCATCCCAAGCCCACACAGAGAGAGCATTTTCCGAAGGCTTCCCAGCGAGCTCCCGCCCAAGCCGCCTGGCTGAGTTTGTACAATCACGTGCTCATCTGTCCCGATCTGTGCGCTAGCCCATCATCCACACTGCAGCCCAGTGACAGTTCTAAAATGCACCCCGAGGTGTCCCCACCCTGCTGGAATCCTTCCATGTCCTCCATTGGTGGGAAGGTGCTTCTCGAAGGTCAAGGGGTGGAGGGAAGAGAATTTACTTGCATCTCCCAGGGAACTTTCACACTCCACACCATTTCCACAATGGCTGCCCTTCCTCCTTCTTGACTGGGACATGGTATGAGAGGGTGAAGGGGAGGGGAGAGGTCTCCGTTTATTCTGAGGGTGTCTCTCCTCCCCGTCCTGCTCATCTCCCCTTCTCCCCTGCCCCCCACACCCTCTGGCCCTGAGGATGAAGTCCAAACACCCAGGGAACAGGAGGCCTTGCTGGCAGGGGGCCTGGCAGCACCTCCCCACCCCTCTGCCCTGCGCACACCCCCTGCAGGAGCCCAAGTTCCTGGCCCGTCCAGACTCCCTCCCTTTCCGAGTCTGTAGTGCCTGCTTTCCCTTCATCTGGAAGCCTCCTTCTTTGCCGTCCTTCTCTGCCAAGCCTCGACTCAAACGTGTCCTCCCATGGAAGGGGCTCCACACCACCCGGGGCACACTGGGCCTTCTCACGAGGACCTGCCTATGCCGCCCGTCTTTTTCCAGCTGAGGACTTCCTGAGGGGCAAGCCCAGCTCTTGTGAGTCTTTGTTCCCCCAGTAGATGCCTAATGGGTTTTGAATGGCTAGATGCGATGCACTCGTGTGTAAATAAATCACTGGGCGAAGGAAGTCACGGCAGGCGATCAGCTGAGCTGACTCACACGTGTGTCACAAACAGTTTGTGGTAATATCTTAGTATCGTACAATCAATCCAATTTGGCCATTAAGCCACCAGCAATAACCAGACTATGGTCCAACTGGACTATTGTTTTGGTCATCTTATTGTGCAAATGAGACTTAACCACATGTTGATTGAATCACATATGAAATAAATTCTCCCCCCAAAAAGAGTATATACCAACTATTATGAATAAAAAATCTCATATTTATTTATTGAGCGCTTACTATGCACCAGGCAGTGTCTTACATGTGTTATGTGTACAGATTCATTTAGTCCTCACAGAAACTCTAGAAGGCACGCGCTGTGATGGTTCCCACTTTACAGGGGAGAGAGAAACCCATGAGCACCCACAGGCACCAGCAGAACGCGCATAGCCTGTGTTCTCACCGACAGGTTACACTGTCTCTCAGGACACTAATGGGCATTGTGTGGTTTCTACTAGAAACAGCAAACGACATTTTCCAAAGTGGAGCTGTAATTAAACTATCTATACCTTCCATCTTGTATTCAGATCAAAAAGACACCACAAATCCCAGTTGCTCTTGTAGCTCGATCCTGTCACTTCCACTGGTCAATTCATTGATACGTAACACACCAAAAGTCGGGGAAAAAAGTTGTTTCCAACTTGACTGAACCGATTTTTGCCCCTTTCCCCCATAAAACTGGTTCTGAGAGGACTTAACTTACTCGTTACCTGGAGAACAACAGATACGTGTGCCCTGCAGCTTGGAGGACACTGGAGTCCAGAAAGGGCCAAAGAAATGTAATCGGGGAGGGGACACAGAAGCCAAAATGAACAGGAGAGGCAGCGACGGCCCGAGGTCTATGGGGTGGATGGTGTTCCCCACACTGACTGTCCACACGTCCTGCTCTCCCATCTAAATTCCAAGCTTTTGAATAAAAGCAACTATCTTACTGTTCTGTTTATCCAAGACAGGAAACCAGGCTTAGAGGAGTGGAAAACATACCTGTAGCCACGACATCTTTTGCTATTTCCCTTTGTAATCCTGTGTTACATTATCATTACTACAAAATAACGAACGATGACAATTAAAATCAGTAATGGTTCCTCTTTCATAAAAGGTAGGCAGGAAGCTTTGACTTCCTATTCTTGCCTCCACAGCCCCTACTTGCTTGGGGGCACGGGGGAGGGGGGTGTGGAGAACGACCTTCAGTTGGGCCTTCTGGTCTACCAGGGGACCCTATAACCTTGCGGACCTGAGACTTTATCCTGTGCCAGCTCCTCAGTGGAAAGTGGACCGTTTAACTTCCCTTGGCCTCTATCTCTCAATCTGCAAAAGATCGGAAATAATGTGGGCCACCTGCTTCCCTCCACAGGAGAGTGGTGAGAATTGATGATATTAGGTTAACGCTGTCAGCTTTCTGAAGAGCTCGGGGAATTTGGAATGAGAGACCCTGCCTGGACATCAAATGTAGTTCCCTAATCAAAGGACTTTGGGTTGTCCATATATCTTCAGAACCAGGGGCACTGGAACACCAGCTTTTCTATTTGTTATTTGAAATGGTGCCCAAAAGAGAAGAGAACAAGACATGACTGAAGGATATGATCGAGACAACCCTTCTGGTGACTGTCCATTCAACATCTGTCCGGGGGAGGTGATTACGGGCCTCAGATTGCTGAGTCCATTATCATTAGCACATTATTTGGTGCTGAGCGCATTGAAAGGACAGGTCAGGCCACAAATGTCTTTGTTAAACGCAGAGCAGCCCCCTGCACCCGCCCATCCCAGGCCTGCGTAGTAAAGTGAGCCGTGGTGCCTTTCACCCCTTCTCCCTACCCTGCCTCCACCGACACCCCGCTCCCGGCCCCCACCCCCCCGTTAAAGAGTTCACAAACTGTTCCTGCCAGTTTAAGCAAAAAACGTTTGGAGAGGTAACAGGGCCACGGTAATTAATTTTGCTCCTTGACTGGAAGGTGAAAAGCTTTTTATTATGTAAATTATAAATGTCCTGAAGGGAAACTTTATCTCCCTCCCACCAATGAGCCCATCAGGCTGCCTGAATCAGGATTTTTTTTTTTTATGTTTATTAGTCTAAGGGGGCCAGTTAGGATGTTTCATAGCTTCTAAGTGCTGACATTTATCTATTGCTTCCAAATAAGCGCAGTGGCAGGGAGCCACTGCGGATCACTCAATATGGAGCGGGGGGCGGTCTGTCCGCGGAGGCGCAGAGCGGAGGGAGCAACCCCAGCCCCAGGGCGGGCGAGGTGGGCGGCTGCGGTTCCCCCACCCCACGGCTTCTGTCTCTGCTCGCTCTTACTGCCCCCACTCTACCCTCCTCTGTGATTCCTTCTCACCTGTCTCCTCTCTGCCTTGGATGCTCAATGACACCCTGGGCCTCTGGGCACCCTGGACCCTCCCTGGGGCTGACGATGCCCTCCTCTCCCCCAACACCCACCAGCATTCCCAGCTACACTACTTCGGCTCTTTGTTTGGGGATCATTCTTGCTCTCAAAAGAACATTGGAACTTTTTCTTCCCCGAAGAACAAGTTTGTATGATACAATGGTTACATTTTATGTGTCAACTTGGCTGGCCCACGGTGCCCAATATGTGGTCCACCATTCTGGATGTTTCTGTGAGGGTGTTTCTGGATGAGGTTAACACTTAAATCGGTGGACTTCAAGTAAGGCAGACTGCTCTCCACACTGTAGATGGGCCTCATCCAATCAGCTGAAGGCCCGAACAGACCATGGACTGACCTCTGCTGACCAAGAGGAGATTCCGCAGAAGGCGGCCTTTGGACTTGGACTGCAGCATCGGTCCCACCTGGGGCTCCAGCCAGCCGGCCCACCCTGTAGATTTGGGACTGGCAGCCTCCATAATCACATGAGCCAGTTCCTTAAAATCCTCCATTCACCCCAAAAGGTTAGGTATGTGACAGTGACTGGGGCCCAGCAAGCCTCGAGGAAGGGTCAGGTCTGGGGTTCTTGCTCTACACAGCAGCATCTTGTGATCTGTGGCTGGACTGTTGGGTAACGCATCCTAGTGGAGCAGAAAGTGGACAGAAAAGAGGAAGGGAGAGGTGACAGAAACATTTCCTAAGCGGGCCAGATTTGAAGGCAGGCTCTGCGTCCTCTGCTTGAAAAAACAATAAATCTATCTCACTGACAGATGGCACAAATTCATAAGAAGCTTATAGGGAGGATTTCACCCTCCAGCAGCTCTATTCCCCCGCCTCCTTTGGAGTCGAGTGTGACCATGTGGCCAAACTATGGCTAATGGGATGAGTGGAGGGAATAAGCACAACTTCCAGATCATGCCCCAGAAGGGAAGTGGTGGACCCTCTGCCAGCCTTTCTCCATTTCCACGGGCTGCACCGTGGGTGTGGTGGTAAACCACGCTGGACGGGATGAAGGCAGCACACCAGGGGCGGTGGGGCTGAAGACGGAAGGAGCCTAGGTCTTTGACACCACAGAGCCCCCAGCCCACCAGGCCAGGATGCCTAACACTTGGACTCATGAGTAACAACTTCTCTCTGATTTAAGCCATTGTTTTAAACCATATCCTAACTAATACAAGTTGTTCCTAGAAAGCCTCCAATGCCTTAGAATTTTCCCATCCACTCCCATCCTCGAGGTTTTAGGGGCAAGAGAACAAGGGTAGAATCTGCCCACAGCCCTGCTCCCAGATGAGGGACTCAGGAATCTCCCGACTGTGCTCTGGAGTTTAGATGAGCAATGATTGACAAAGTGAGTCCATGTCCTTCTGCAATCATTTCCTTAGCTGCCATTAGTTAAAAATTAAAATACAACTTAAAAACATATTTTTTCCTAGTATTTCTTTTTAAAAACCAGTTTCAACACTTTTAGTGATAGAAACTTCTAGTCAGCCTTTGGAAATCTCTGCAAAAGACATTCCCAGACCATCAGAACTGTGAAATCCATCATATAGAATATGATCTCTGAGTACAAGGACCCTGGTTTTACTACTGACCCCACAACTGATGTCAGAGCTAGCCAGCCTGAGCACATCAATGCTCTGTACCCTATTTCACATTTCAAAAAGAGGGGAACAACAGCAACTCTCCTCGAGAAAGATTGTGAGGATTCTAGCTCCACGGAGACGGGGGAAAGGAGGCGTCATGGGCACCTGGTCTAAATTCCGTCCAATGGCTGTTTGCCCTTCATCGCTTCCTCCAGGAGGAGGTTGCCATCGATTCCGCTCAGAGTCAGTTTCCACTCCTGAGGACCTCGCTCTTATTCTGCTTAGTGTATTTTATACATAAAGCAGTAAACATTTGCTAGAAACAATGTCCTTACTCTGTCACACTGCTTTTTCATAGAGACGGCATGAAAAAGAAAAGCAGCACGATGAAGTGAAGGGAGGACAGACATGGAAGGCAGACAGATCTGGCTTTGAACTTCAGGTTCACCATTTATGTGACCTTGAGTAAGTCATTTAATGTCTTTAAGCCTCAACTTCCTAAGTTATTGTAATACATATTTTAGGGATCACAAATGAACGCAAAGTGACACATGGTGCCAGCATGTGGCGGTTACTCAGTGATGATGACATGGCCGCCGTGCTGCTATTGTCACTGTCATCATGATCAGTGCTATAGTCATTCCAGGAGCAGTATAGCTAGTCTGGCTGGGTACAAATCCCAGCTCGCCTCTCACTAACTGTGTGACCTGGGGAAGTTACTTAACCTTTCTGTGCCTCCATTTCCTCATCTGTAAGTGGGGAATGGTACTAGTGCACCACACGTTTGCTGTGAGGACTAAGCGTGTAAAGAGAGAGAGAAAGGACTTTGAACAGAGCTTTAGTAATAGTGAATAGAAATATCAGCTTTTGTTATGATTAAGGAGTAATACCTTACCAAATAAGAAGACTTGTTATCCAGGAAGTGAGTGGAACACTCTAAAATAAAATTAGACATGACTGATTTAGAAAAACAGATGCCAGGAGTGAATTCTTAACTGTATGGTAAAATGAAGAAGATCAAGAAGGTGGATATTTTGGAACAGTGCGTAAGAGAAAAACCTCTTATACTCATCCTTTCTAGGAAATGTCCTTCTCTCAACGTGCGTTTCATTTGGTCATATTAAGTGTCTTCAACGTGACGCCGCAGTACAGAGAATGGGACACAGTCTGGGGTTTAAAGTGGGCAGATGAAAGTTCAATATGTTCACCCTTTTCAAAAATATTTTAAATAAAATGATAGAAAACTTTTATTTAAGAATCTTCTCTCATCTTTTTCCTGATGCTAAGTGAGCCAAAAACCTCAGGAGAAGGCACAGTTGAAAGAGCGTGGGAGTGGGAGGAGCCGGCTTCCTCCGGTCAGGGCCACGTTCTCCCACCAACCAGCCGGCTGACTTAAAGTGTGTCACTTAACATCTCTGAGCTGCAGTCTCCCTATGTGCAGAATGACAAGGCTTAATTAGAAGAGCTGTAAGATGGCTGAAATTTCTCATATGCTAAGATCTTAAGTTAACCTGGATAGATACACACCAGCAGGCAAGCAGCACTGTCTACTTTTAGGGGTCACTTTCTCAGATTCCTTATTCCAGGTCTACTAAATAATCTCAACATGTTAGAGGATTTTATCGTAGAAACCTACAAATGAAAGGCTATCCTATCAGTCACAATAGGGTAGGCTATGCTGCAGTAACAAATACTCCCAAATATCCCGCTTTGTTTATGCTAGCACTGCATGTCCATCCAGGGCAGCTGTTGTACTCTTCCACGGCTTCACTCCAGGACCTAGGCTGATGGGGCAGTCTCTGTCTGGGCATTGCTGTTCCAGCAGAGGGAAAGAATACATTTCAAACCACAAGCTGGCTCTTAAAACTACTGTGTGGAAGTTCCACACATCATCATCCACACTTGATTGGTCAAAGCAAGTCACGTGGCTTCTCCTGACTTCAACAAAGAGCAGATCAATAATCAATCCACCCGCAGGGAAAAGCGTGACTGGGAAAGAAAATGGAACAGTTGGTGACCACTAGTACAGTCTCCCAGAGATGCCGCTGAGAATTTATCTCCTGAACTGGAAAACTACTTGCTCCTCAAGGGAAGGAAGAAGAGGCCTCCCTTTGTTTAGGGGAAATATCCATACAGGAGTATTCGGAACCCAAGTGCACAAATATAAGAACGCTTCTAGGAAAACACTAGCTGAGAAAGGAGTTTCTTTTTGCTATTTTGTGAGAAAATAAATGTGAAACAAATAGGGACCAAAAAAAAATTAAGGGGTGCTGTTAGGGATGGGGAGAGAGATTAGGAGCTGGGGAAACCCAGTCTTGGAGAGACGACACCATTTTCTGCTGCTCCAGGCGGTTCCAGCTAATGACTGCGTGCAAGCAGAATGTGAATGCAAAGGATGCCAGCAAGTACATAAAAGGCAGAGGAAGAAGGATCAACATGTTTTGCTGCCATTTCCAGGAAAAGGATGGTGTCCCCAGCAGCCTCCCACAGTAGATGACCAGAAAAAAAAGCAAACACAAATAACACTCATTGAAACTCCGAGTCGTGACTACTGTGTTTCACAGCACACCCTCCCTCAAATCCTGGCTGCGAACCAGCCCAGCCACTTGAAGCAGCGTTGGCAGCCTGCTCTCTCTTGGCACCGGGTACGCATGGCAGCTGGATGGCTTGTAGTCAGTGTAGTTTTGCAGCTGGTGGTGGTAGCAATTGGCAAAAACTAACTGTCCAGATGGGCATTAAATTTTCTTTAATGTTTATAATATGTCAGAAGAGAATAATCCTATGTCAAAGTGGCTTAAAAGAACTTTTACTCAGGAGCTTACAGAAATTCCTTTTTGACAAGATGGAGGTTGCTTTATTTCGACTACATATGTGAGTCTTATTCCCCTGGAACGGGCCAGGGCGCTCCTGCGCGGTGGAATCTCCTCTGGCTGAAAGGGCTGGGGAGTCTGCCGCCCCTTCCTGTCTCGGGTTCTCACAATTTGTTGCTCGCTAGCCAGCATTTAGCAGTGTGGCCACAGGATTTGGACTGAGGTTCCAAAAGGAAAATAACATTTTACTCGGAATTTTTATGATCCTCAGAGGACCAGTTCCATTCAGGTAACGTTATAAGACTAGGAGTAAAGTAATAACCATGTTGTATAGAAGGAAGAGCATTGGGCAAAACATTTCATATAAAATAGGCAAGGAATTAATATCCAAAATATATTTTTTTAAGTTGCTATTAATTAATGAGAAAAACAAACCAACAACCTATTTTTAAAACATGCAGAAGGTATAATATGCAAGTCACAGAAGAGGAGATTCAGATGGCCTATTTGTTAAGAAACGATCATCAACCTCACTAGTCATCAGGGAAAAGCAAGATAGCATTCCCACCAAATGTGCTGGGGACAAACCAAAGACTGTTTACGTCGGAGGCAGTGAGCATGTGAGGAAACAGGTGCCCTGCCACCTCATGCACCGCGTGGGGACAGGCAAGGAGACGAAGCAGGATGGCCACTTGGGAGGATAGTTTCTCAGTGTCTACAGATTTAAAATGCACATGCCCTATGACCCAGCACATCCTTCTTCATATCCACCTCCTCCTCCTGCTCCCACACAAGAACATTCACAAATGTACACAGGATGCTGATGCGCTGACATTCATGACAGCAGTGCAACTCAAAGTATGGTCTTTGGACCACCAGCATTAGCATTCCTGGAGAGCTTGTTAGAAAGGGGGTGGTTGCCCCACCCCAGAACTACCGAATCAGAGTGTTTGGGGGTGGGGCCCAGGGATTTATTTTCACAAGCCCCTCTGGCGATTCTGATGCTCACTGAACTTTGAGAGGTACTGTGTCATAACGTTGTTTGTAATGGAGGAAAAATGGAAATAATCTAAATGTCCATCACATGCCATGGCTTATTTATATTTTAGGAAATTAGCCAGCAATTTAAAAGACTGAGGTAGGTACGTGCCAATCCAGAAAAATATCCAAGATAGACATATCGGAGAACCAAATGTAAAGTATAATTTTATTTATGTTTTTAAAAAACTACAGAACAATATCATTTATTTCCACACACACATATCTACATATACATGTGTATGCATATGTATAAACAGTCAGCAAAATGGCTGGAGAATACACACCAGTTGATGACAGTGGTTACTCTGGGAAGGATATTGGGATGCGCACAGCAGTCAAGGAAGACTGTAGCTTTCGTTTGTCGTTTGTTTTTTTGCAAGAAGCTTACACGTGTACTATTTGTGAGACTATATTTTTAGCCAGGAGAGCTGGGTTCTAGACCCAGCCTGGGCACCATCCAGCTGTGCTGTCTTGAGCCTCCCTGGACTTCAGTTCCTAACCTGCCAAAGCAGGAACTGGGCCAGTCAACCCCAGAGTCTTTTCACTGAGCTTCATCACACTACGATTCCTGCCAGAGTTGTCTGAGTGTGAAAACCAGGGCGCTTAGTAAATCTGACCAAAGAAATAAAGAGAAGCATGCATATCTGTGTCCCCTAAGGAACTAGTTAATAATTACTTCCACATGTCAGTTTAAGACAAATGACTTACATGAAATTTCCTGTGTTTAAATATCACGGTGGCTATGAGAAGCTCTTTATTTTTAAAGTAAAAGTTTAGAGACCTGATAAAACAAATTCTCTTCAAAATGTTCCAAAGGCTTGGATTTAAGCGAATCTGCAGGACCCCAGTTCCAGCAGCATCAGTGTGTGAACATAAATAATATGACTGCCCCCTTCTAGCAGAATGCATCGGCTCCGATGATAATCGTGCATGTGGAGAGCTTGTAATTACACTGGGCACAGAGGCGGATCTAGATTGAAGAGCGACAGTGAGAGTTAATATCATCTTCCATTCTAACAGAAGAACTACAGATTTGTGTCAATCCCTCTGTATTTGTTCAATTTTGTATATCATCTTTAAAAATTAAGAGAAGGAGCTTATATCATGTATGAATCTGGATCAGTTTTGACCAAGATATAGAGAAATCTGAATAAACAAGAATTCCCGGGGATAGATATAAGAACCTTAATTAAATAAGAATTGAAAAGAAAACAAAATGTATACTAAAAAGCAAAGAGTAAGGCAAAGCTAATTACAAAGTTCAATCAACTTTGCCCCATAAGAGAAAGTCCTGCTTTCTTGATCAAATGCAGTATTTAAACATAGCAGTGAACCAGAAAGAGTTTAGAGACATTAACAACCCTCTCATTTCATAACCAGTCAATGAGAAATTCGCCACCAGAATCCAGCTTTCCTGTCTCCTAGGCCGGGGCTCCTTTCTGCCTGTAAACAGAACAAACACTGATGCCTTTAGCACCTTGTATGCAAATACGTGAGTCAGCCCAATTTTATAAGGAAACTATTTTTGAAAAATAGAGTTGAATGCTTTTCATTGTATATCTTTAAAGTGAATTTAAAGAAGATTTATGGGGAAAACCTTCTTTTACAATGTAAACACGGTCTTTTATTAGAATTTAATAATTGTGGATATGGAGTAATTTCCTACTAATCTATTTTAAAGGAGAATAAAGTGATGCAGTGCGCTGCTTATTCTCCAGCACCCTCCCAGATCTCTCCTCCATTTTCCCCTGCCCTGCTCTGGCCCCTGGACACTGATGTCCACGATGGGCAGGCTCCCTCGTCTGCAGGCTTCTGTCAAGCTTGTGCAGGAGGAAACAAGGCGGGAGAGATTAGGACACGGAGGTGAAAGTGAGGCAGGCATTACTCCTCCACATCCCACATGCATCCTGCTGCCTCCTCGCTGTCTTGCTGCCAGTGGCTATCTGGCAGGCCCTCTTCTGAGGCTCCAAGCTCTCACTGGACTCAGGCAACAGTAGTCTCTGAGTGCCTCATCATCCATCATTGGTGTGCTGGACCCAGCTCATATCTCTATAACTGTCCCCACATGAAACGCTTTTCACTCAATCCCATAAAAGTACCATCAGTTTCTTGCCAGGACCCTAACTGCTCTCTGCACAGAGTAATGAGAAGCCTTTCGGTATCTGTGAATACTGATATAAAGCCAGCAACTGATAAAGGAAGTCCCTTGCCATCTGGGAATAGATCCTGGCCAGGGCCAGATCAGGTGCTGCAAATCTCAAGGCTGCCTCTGCACCCTCTGCCGCTCAGGCGCGGTTTGGAGCGGCCGCCTGCCCCAGACCTGACATCCTGTGCATGCTTGCCGGCCGTGCTGAGCATGCAAGACCTCTGGGTGCTCTGGACCAAGTCGGTCGTGAGATAATGTCTCTCTCCAGGACAAAGAGCAGTCCTGCTTCTCTCTGGCTATAAAGAAAGCACGGCTTCCCCAGCTCAGGGGTCTTCAGCTGGACACACACCCGCTGAGTCTGCAGCATCCACCTGACCGTCTATGTTGCCTGTGAGTTTTGGGGAACAAAAGGAACCAACACAAACACAATGCTTGTGCTGCCTGCTGTGCTGAGCCTGCCCCAGGAGTCTCAGGTCTTCTTCAGCAGCCATGAAATAGGAATCGGCTCATTTAAGAGCTCCTAGGTAGGGTAAAATCTCCAGCCCTGACATCCTCATTTGCTGCACCATAGCCCCCCTGGCTTCTTCCTTTCCATTCCTCAGGCACACAGCTGAGTCCTGGCCTCAGGATTTTGCACCCTCTATTCCCTTTGTGCGGAGTGCTCAGGCCCAGGGTCTTCACGTGGCCGGTTCCAACTTTTCCAAAGCCTCGGATCACTTATCATCGTCTCAAAGAGATCTTCCCTCACCAGCCAATCGAAAGACACTCTGTCTCCTCACCCACTTTATTTTCTTCTTACCGTTTTTTTACCATCTCACATTATCTCTCGGGTGTTTCTTTACTGCCTGTCATTCCCCCACTGAGAGGGCAGCTCCGGGAGAAGCAGGGTCTTCTGGGTCTGTTCTCTCTCCCCAGAACTTTGACTAGTTCCTCTCTCAATGGATGTTTAGTGAGTGAATGAATAACTAAAGGAGGGACTGAGTTTTCACAAGGTTACCCTTTACTGTGTGATATTAGACACTCTGACTTTCAGGTGCCTCATCCTTA